AAAAGGCTAAAAATCAAACCTATGTGGCTTATGGTCAAAGTTAAAGAAGCTATAGATAATGAGAAAAGAGCTTTTATTAAATATAAAACTGAAGGAACACTATCATCGTTTAATCATTACAAAGAATGTAACAGAATATGCAAACAGGAAATAAAGGCCATAAAAATTGAAAACGAACGACAGATTGCAAAGGATAGCAGGACCAACCCCAAAAAATTCTTCAAACATATTAACAGTAAAAAGGTCAGGTCCGAACATGTAGGCCCTTTACAAAATAATCTAGAGTGGGTGACTGGGTACAAAGATAAGGTAAATTTATTAAATACCTTCTTCCTTCAGCTCTGTCTATACAAAGGAGCATGGGGGAGCTCTTGTCCATAATGGGCATGGTATTGACACAGCTCCAGATGATCCACATTGGCTCACAATTGATATGATCCAAAAATATTTAGACAGAATAAAGGTGAATAAAGCACCTGGACCAGATGGCATACACCCACTGGTCCTTAAAGAATTGAGCTGTCATTTCAAAGCCATTATTTCTCATTTTTAGAGACTCTTTAATGACTGGCATAGTACCACTGGATTGGCATAAGGCCAATGTGGTGCCAATGTTTAAAAAGGGGTCAAAATCTTTGCCAAGTAATTATAGACCTGTTAGTTTAACTTCTATAGTTGGGAAGATACTGGAGAGTTTAATAAAAAAAACCACATAGATGAGTTCTTGCTGGAAAAAAATATTTTAAGCAACATACAGCATGGATTTATGAAAGACAGAAGTTGTCAAACAAATCTGATTTCTTTTTTGGGCGAGCAATACCTTGAACAGGGGTGACGGTGGACGTGGTATACTTGGACAGAGGGGTGGCGGTGGGCGTGGTATACTTGGACAGAGGGTTGGTGGTGGACGTGGTATACTTGGATTTTGCAAAAGCGTTTGACACAGTTCCACACACACGGCTAATGTGTAAGGTAAAGTCTACAGGCTTGGAAAAATCGTTATGTAAATGGATAGAAAACTGCCTAAAAGATTGTATTCAGAGAGTAGTGGTTAATGATTCATACTCTGAATGGTCTGGGGTCATCAGTGGTGTACCCCAAGGTTCAGTGTTGGGACCCTTACTTTTTAATATATTTATAAACAATATAGGGTCTGAGATTAAAAATCCCATTTCAGTCTTTGCAGATGACACCAAGCTGTGCAGTGGAATAACGTCCTTACAGGATGTCTCCAATTTACAAGCCGACCTCAATGCTCTGTGTAAGTGGGCAACTATGTGGCAAATGAGGTTTAATGTGGATAAATGTAAGGTTCTGCACTTGGGGGCTAAGAATATGCATGTATAATACATACTAGGGGGGGTACAACTGGGGGAATCAATGGTGGAGAAGGATCTAGGAGTTCTGGTAGATCACAGCTTAGTAATGGCATGCAATGCCAAGCTGTGGTTTCTAAAGCAAGCAAAATCCTCTCTTGCATTAAAAGAGGTATAGACTCCAGAGAGAGATATAAATTTCCCCCGGTACAAATCATTAGTAAGACCTCATCTGGAATATGCAGTTCAATTTTGGGCACCAATTCACAAAAAGAACATTGGGGAACTGAGAAAGTACAGAGAAGGGCAACCAAACTGATAAGAAGCATGGAGGAGCTCAGCTATGAGGAAAGATTAGAGGAACTGAATTTATTCTCTCTTGAGAGAAGAGGAGATTAAGGGGGGATATGATCAACATGTATAAATACAGTGGTTCATATAGTGAACTCGGTGTAGAGCAATTCACCTTGATGTCATCACAGAGGACAAGGGGGAACTCTTCACGTCTGGAGGAAAAGAGATTTACCCTCCAAACACGGAAAGGCTTCTTCACAGTAAGAGCCGTGAAAATGTGGAATAGACTCCCTCAAGAGTTGGTTCTGGCTAGCTCAGTAGATTGTTTAAAAAAAAAAAGGCCTGGATTCATTCCTAGGTGCACAAAATATAACTGGATACTAATATTTATAGGTAAAGTTGATCCAGGGATTATCCAATTGCCACTTGGGGGATCAGGAAGGAATTTCTTCCCCTGCAGGAGCAAATTGGATCATGCTATATTGGGATTTTTTGCCTTCCCCTGGATCAACAATAGGTATAGGATTGTGTAAATATACAATTGAATATAATTTTTAAAAGGTATCAATAACTACAATGGCCGACTCTCCTTCTGGTGTGCCCAGTTGGATCCACGACTTTGAAAGTGGTATGCATCAACACTCAAACGGAACAAAGCAAAACCATCACTGTGTTATGTATACTTTTTTGGGATATGTATGTTTTGTCAGGTATGGACAGCACAGCACAGCTAAAGCCTGGTCTAGTGTACTTAGCAAGGGAGAATAAGGATGTAAAGATATTGCTGGCTGTTGCACTGAAAGTACTTGGTAAATGTAAAAGAACTATAAATACAATTAGTTTGTTCAATTAAGAGAAGTTGTCTGGTCTGAATTACTTTGCAAGAGAGTGTGCTTTACAGTGTATTGGAGAATTGGGGAACAAAGCATTCAATTCTAGTTAACCCTTGAGGTTATGAAGTAAGGAGTGCCAAGATGGAGGTGCAGCCAGTTCAGCAGAGGGATCGATGAAGGTTGGTGATGGAGGTTTTGTAGGTAGAGGTAGCTTGGTACATGGCGTATCTTGGGGCCCACTGTGGAATGGAACCCTCCTAAGGACTGGATTTACATGTGTGCAAAGCCTTGCAACGTGAGTGCAGTGGCTCATCTGTTTGCCTTCTGGACTGAATCTTAGTAAGGAGAAAAGTGTGTTGTAAAGAGCTGGTGGAGGATAATCAACACCCAATGCTATTCTCCTCAAAATATCTCATACGTCAGTGTCGGGACAGGTGTCAAAGGCAAGGTGTGTGGCCCCAATAAAATAGTTTTGTCACCAGTCGATCATTGTCACCAGTCGATCAGTGTATCGGTTGGTGTGCCGGTACCATGTGATCACTGTGACCATTCACAGCAGATCACATGGCAATTGTACACAATGGATGATGTTCATTCATGCCATCCATTGTGTACTATTTTGTTTATCTCTGTGATTGGTCACAGTGATCACATAGTACAGACAGGACAAATCACAGCCATCTGTTCCATGTGATTAGCTGTGGCCAATCACACACAATAGTAAATACTGAATGAATGTCTTTCATTTTTATAACCGTGAAATTCACTGGAATAAGCAATGATAATGTGTAAAAAATTTTTATTTATTTTTTTTTTGCATACTGTCACCAGTCAGTATCCCTGATCGCCACCACACCAGTTATATGATGACGCTGTACTGCACTGGTGACAGTGTGTGAACAAAAAACTGGGAAAAAAAAAGGTTTAAAAAAATGTCTTAATTTTCCAAAAAAAAATTACAGAATTTACCATGCCTCATTAAATACCTTGGATTATCTACTTTCCAAAAAGTGGTAATTTGGGGGGTATTTGTGCTGTCCTTGAATTTTTGGGACTCAAAATATTATATCAGCCGTCCGTACATCAGGGTTGATCAATTTTCAGATCTATACCATAGCTTGTGGACTCTATAACTTTTCTACAGACTAAATAATATACATTAATTTGAGTTATTTTCACCAAGGAAATGTAGCATAATACATTTTGTCCTAGACTTATGAGGAATGATTATTTATTTGCAAAATTTTATAGCAGAAACAAAGAGAAACGTGTTTTTTTTTTCATAATTTTCTGTCTTTCTTGTATACAGTATTTACCAGAAAATTAAAAAAAAAACAGTAGTGATTAAATACATATTAGAAAGCACTATTTGTGTGTTCAAAATGATAAAATGCTGTATGGGACAGTGTTGCATGACCGCGCAATTGTCATTCAAAGTGTGACAGCACTGAAAGCTGAAAATTGGCCTGGGAAGGAAGTACCGTATTTTTCGCCATATAAGACGCTCCGGAATATAAGACTCACCCAATTTTAAAGGAGGAAAATCTAGAAAAAAAAGATTCTGAACCCAATACATATAGTAATTCATCCCCCCTATAGTAATTCATATATAGTAATTTATCCCCCCTATAGTAATTCATCCCCCCTATAGTAATTCATCCCCCATAGTAATTCATCCCCCATATAGTAATTCCCCCCATATAGTAATTCATCCTCCATAGTAATTCATCCCCCATATAGTAATTCATGCCCCCATATAGTAATTCATGCCCCCTATAGTAATTCATGCCCCCTATAGTAATTCCCCCCCTATAGTAATTCATTCCCCATATTGTGTCAATTCACTTACCTTTGCTCTGCGCGTTCCTCTCGCCGTGTTCCCGCGCCGTTCCGGTGTTCAGGGCTGATCCACAAGCAGAGGGGGTGATGACGTCAGCGCGCACCGCTGGGTGTACTAAGATGGCCGACCGCTCCAGAGATAGGCCAAAGCCGCGGCCTTTCCTACGGCCGTGGCCGCGCCTGACGGATTCTCTCTCTATTCGTCGTATAAGACGCACCAACTTTCCCCCCCCAGTATTGGGGAAGAAAAAGTGCGTCTTATGCGGCGAAAAATACGGTAGGTAAAAGTGCCCGGTATTGAAGTGGTTAAGACACTGACATTCACATTCATTAGATGCGATTTCAGGTGCAATTTCAATCCGCAAATCGCAATAAGATGAATGAATAAGATGTTCTGTAGTCCAGCTTGGAGGCTTGGACAGGGCTGACAACACTGCTTGTGATTTCAGTGCTGTAAAGGGAAGTGTTGTCAGATCACGCCAGGAAATTAGATCAGTAGATTTTTGACAGGATCAACGGGTACTGTACTTATCTTTCTATACTTATAACATTTTCTAAGAGAAAAAAAATGCATGCATGTATTGTTGAGAATTCTGGATACGTTTTTTATGCAATTTTTTATTGTTTGATAAAAGCATGATGTAATATCATTTCCTGCCAATATTGCCCTTTATACAGATGATTAAGAGAATTACTCACCAATTATCTCATCAAAAGCCTCCTTCAGTTTATTTATATCTTTCATCTGGAAGACGTGTTTCTCTTTATCCTTTTTGGAGGCAATATCATTGAGCTCATCCTGGCTGATATCATCACCTAGGCCGAACACATAAATATCTGTGCAGGAGAAAGGAACATTGACCTCTGTAAATACAAATCAATAACAGAGAGATTTGCCTGCACATAGACTCCTTTGAAAACCCTATTAGTGAGTGGCAACAAGATCATAGCCCCTCCCCAGGACCAATGGAAAAATTGGCTGCCATGAAACCAGTCCCTTTTGGTGACCGCTGGCTTAGAAGCATTGCAAACCTTCCAACCTGCACCTTGTGTGTTTCACCAACATAAGATATGCATTGGTCATGTAGTGTCATGGCATAATTTGTTGCCCTGTGCACACAGCCTATAGTAGAGTTAATATTCACATTTCGGTCAGCAGTTTGTGTTCAAACATGAAGCATGCCATATAACACTCCACAAGTTAATGCATGACCTCTGTCTGTAGTGTGAGATCTGCATTTTTTTTATTACATCACTACTCCCACATTTGTGATAGCAATGCATGCATTGGATGCTGTGTTGCCCAAAACAGGAAGTTGTCTTGTCTCATTGTTAAATAGGGACAAGCTAGGTGAATGAATGCATGAATACAAGGGAATCATATATGATGCTACAAACTGCAGCCACATGTGAGCCCATCTTTATAAGGCAAGGCAAACAAACTGCACAGGGAATATAATTACAGTATGACCTTGTTCAGAGGTGTGCTACAGTGTACACCTGTGTGAACAGCTACAGTACGTCTGTGCAGTCTGTGTCCCAGTTGACATGAATGGGAATGCATGGAACACCTGTGCATTTCCCTGCAGCTCTCACATGGGTGTACACCAGCAATGGGCAAACTACGGCCCGCGGGCCGTATACGGCCGGCGGACCTTTTAATCCGGCCCGCGGAGCGTGATACTGTCAGGATGGCTGTCAGGATGTGTGTAGGCGGGGCAGCGTGACGAACGTGAGGGGAGCTAGGCTCCTCTCACAGTCCGCCCTGAAGACCGGAACGGCGAGAGGAACGCGCGGACCAATGGTAAGTAAATTGACACAGGGGGGACTTGGCTTACTACTTGGGGGGAATAGTACTATGGGGGATGAAATACTATATGAGGGATGAATTAATATGGGGGATGAATTAATATGGGGAATGAATTACTATAGGGGGGGATGAATTACTATGGGGGATGAATTACTATATGGGGGATGAATTACTATGGGGGATGAATTACTATGGGGGATGAATTACTATGGGGGATGAATTACTATGGTGGATGAATTACTATATCTACTCTTGGTCCGGCCCCCGGGTCCAATATATGAACCCATTGTGGCCCTCAAGTCAAAAAGTTTGCCCACCCCTGGTGTACACTGTAGTTCACCCGTGTGAATGAGGCCTAAAACCTAGTTAAAACAAAAAAACATTTGAAAGCTTAAAATACATTTAAAGATTTTGAAATACTGATTTAATGGAAATAAAAGAAAAATGGTAGGTAAAAAGATATAAACACACAAGCAACAACAGCAAAATGAAAAGTAAAGCATACTTAAGTGGAGTTTTCCTTGACTTTTCGTCAGTGCAGAGCTCAGATCACTTGCACAGTAAGTTGAATTTGATACAACAGAGTCACTTGCCTCAAGAAAACATTATTTTCAGTGTCCTTATATTTGTTTCTGTATATGGTATGGTAGGGAAGTTTGCTAGGACCTATGTTACTATCAATGGAAGAGGGCTGAGAATGCCACATAGTTTGTTCATCTTGTTACATGTCTTCCACCACACTTGCGGCCACTGAGAGTTTTTTTAATTTAAGACTCATATTTATTGACTGCATTGGCATGGCTCATCCCAAAACATACCAGAATACATGTGCATCCTACATTGTAAAGTGACAGATAACTGTACATCCTTGACCAATCATGCTATCCCCCTGGTTTGCTGCAGGAGCATAAAGGTTGCAGATGGGTCCCCTGGACATCCACTAGGCCTCAAGCTCCTGCAGACATTGCCTTGGGCATTATCTGGCTCTGATTTGGACACTTATGTTTTAAAGGACATTGTGTCCTCAAAAGTGGTAGCAACCTGTAAAGTTAGATGGCAAGTAAACAGTTCTTTAGGCCCTACAATCTGTGTATTCCATTTACAGGATCTCATTAAAAGCTTGCGTGGTGCTTGCCTGATTCCATTTCACCTAGGATGTCACATACCCAGTTTATCTTCACGATGGTTCTTCCTGATATCCAGAAACTCTCTGATCTTGTTTACTTCCACAGATGGGTCTCCACCCATATTATGTTTTCCTGAAGAGTTATAGAAAAAAAATTATTATTTTGTGGAGGCAGAGGCACTGATAGTACTGTCATGGAGATGAGGACTTGCTAGTCAAACTGTTATTGTCATGAGCTAGATATGGACCAACTGTGATTTATGTGGAGTAAAACAATCACTTTTTATTATTAGGACATTGACTAACTGCTATTGTCAGGAGTAGCACATTGAAGGGCAGGGGATGTCAGATGTAAGACATGAGAGATGGTTATTAGGAGCACTGACTAATGCAGGTAATCAGAAATAGGGAAAGGGAAGAGGTTATCAGTGGTAGCTATAGAATAAAGGAGGTCATTAAAAGTAAAATAGACTGGCTAAGGTTCTTAGGAGTAGACCATGGACTGACTAAGGTTGTCAGGAGTAGGCCATGGACTGACTAAGGTTGTCAGGAGTAGACCATGGACTGACTAAGATTGTCATAAGTAGACCATGGAATGACTAAGGTTGTCAGGGGTAGACCATGGACTGACTAAGGTCATTAGGAGTAGGTCATGGACTGACTAATGTTATCAGGAGTAGACCATGGACTGTCTTAGGTTCTTAGTAGTAGACCAAGGACTGTCTTAGGTTCTTAGTAGTAGACCAAGGACTGTCTTAGGTTCTTAGTAGTAGACCATAGACTGACTAAGGTTGCCAGGAGTAGACCATGGACTGACTAAGGTTGTCATGAGTAGACGATGGAATGACTAAGGTTGTCAGGGGTAGACCATGGACTAACTAAGGTTGACATGAGTAGACCATGGACCATCTAAGGTTGTTATGAGTAGACCATGAACTAACGAAGATTGTCAGCCGTAGACCATGGACTAACTAATGTTGTCAGTAGTAGACCATGGACTGACTAAGCTTGTCAAAAGCAGGGCATGAACTTGCTGACATTTTCAGGAGTTGGACTAGACACTTAATGCTTACCATCAGTCATAAGTATGATGATATTAGAATATTCAAGAAATTTGTCTGGGTTTCTCACATTATCGAAAGACAGTTGATTATAGACTTCCTGAAGGGCACCCCGTGTATTAGTTCCTTGTTTATCATCGTGTTCTGTGGAATTATAAATGGAAAAAAAACCAAACGTGACATATTATGAAAAGTGATATGATTAATATAGCACATGGGCAACACAACTTCTGCTTCTCCACCAGTTGTAAGGGAAATACAAACCCCAGCAAGTGGAGATTCTTCAACCAGAGATAAAAAAAATATAGTTTCAACAAGAATGACATAGGAAGAATTTTGTTAACATGTCAAAGCAGAATAAAAGGCTGACTCACCACGTTCCACTTATAAGTAAAATATTATTCTTTTGTGAATTGGTAATTGAATAATCCAACTAATACTTTACCTTTATAGCTGAAAGCTGTAATTGCATCTATAACTTTTGAGGCATCTGTATTGATTTCAGAATGAGAGAGTAGCACAATTGGTTTTACGTGTGAAGCATAGGTAAGGACTGAGTACCGAGGTACGAATTCATAGCTGCTAACCTACAAACAAACATATGTATGCATGAATATAAGACATAATGTCAAGATTGTCAGATCATATAGTTATAATCTCTAGTAATAAAAACAAATACAGCACAGTGTAGAGAGACCAAGTGTAATAAGTATTCTGACTCAGATTGTTGTGATAGCAATTTATCCCTTGTGAGACCTCTCTGCCTAGCCTGTATAAGCAGATATAATCACTGTGGGCAATCCTTATCAGATAGCTTGAACTCACCAATACTGTGTTCATCCAGAAGTTGCTTTATTCTGTACATGTGACAACAGGATACAGCAGAATGAATGGTTTCCAGTATTATGCGGTCAAAAGATGATACTTTCTGTAGCGTACTATGCAGAATACATGTGTCCCTGTTACATGTGGTCTGTTAGGTGCCTCCATGACACAGGAAGTGCTGAACTCAAGAAGAAGGGAGGAACTTCATATACAAAGGAATTGTGTCATAGATCTCAGGGAGGCAACATAAAACAAATGCATTACCAAATAAGACCACTGGATGGCAGCATTACTAACTATAGAAATGTCCATAGAAAATGGTACAAAGAATAAACTATATGAATTCTCATGTACATTAACATAAATATTAACTGTGTAACAGCATAATAAGCCTTAGCTGTTCAACTGGTGTGGCTATAGTAATATGAAAGTTTTAAAATATCTCCATGCAAGGTCTGCTTTTTAAATGTGGCCCCCTTAGTACATAGACCTAATACATCTGTAGAGAAAAAAATGTAGATGATATATTTTCTATGCCCCCAGCTTTTGTAGTGCTGTGATTTTATCTTCTTGCCAACAAGTTCCAGGGGATTGCTGAATACTCCAAATTTTTCATGAAGGTGCTGCAACATAGTGTAGAATCCTCTTCTCAGAGAGATTCGGGCTATCTCAACATCCCACTGGATCCCGTCAGAAAGATGATTACCGTATATACTCGAGTATAAGCCGACCCGAATATAAGCCGAGGTACCTAATTTTACCACAAAAAAACTGGGAAAAACTATTGACTCGAGTATAAGCCGAGGGTGGGAACACCAGTGGGAAGAATCGTGCCTCATCATTGGTGTCAGTGGGAGGAATAGTGCCCCATCATTGGTGTCAGTGGGAGGAATAGTGCCCCATCATTGGTATCAGTGGGAGGAATAGTGCCCCATCTTTGGTATCAGTGGGAGGAATAGTGCCCCATCATTGGTGTCAGTGGGAGGAATAGCGCCCCATCATTGGTGTCAGTGGGAGGAATAGTGCCCCATCACTGGTATCAGTGGCAGGAATAGTGCCCCATCATTAGTATCAGTGGGGGGAATAGCACCCCATTATTGGTGTCAGTGGAATAGTGCCCCCATCTTTGGTGTCAGTGGGAGGAATAGTGCCCCATCTTTGGTGTCAGTGGGAGGAATAGTGTCCCAACATTGGTGTCAGTGGGAGGAATAGTATCCCATCATTGGTGTCAGTGGGGGGGGGGGGTGGAGGAATAGTGCCCCATCGTTGGTGTCAGTGGGGGGGAGGAAAAGTGCCCCATCGTTGGTGTCAGTGGGGGGGAGGAATAGTATCTTATGATTGGTGTCAGTGGGGGGTGGAATAGTGCTCCATGATTGGTGTGTCCCCATCATTGGGTCAGTGGGGGGGGGGAGGAATAGTGCCCCATCATTGGTGTCAGTGGGGGGGGGGAAAGTGCCCCATCGTTGGTGTCAGTGGGAGGAATAATGCCTCATCATTGGTATCAGTGACACCAATGATGGGGCACTATTCCTCCCACTGACACTTGCTGACCCCTGTTCCAGTATGGTGCTGCTGCAGCCAGCATATGTGGTTGCAGCAGCACCTAAGCACGGCACACTTACCTGCATCTCCTTCACTCGATTTTCACGGGGCCGCTCAGCTCCGCCTCCTCGCCGGTGATTGGCCGCCTTGTGCCTTTCTGTGCTACAGTTCTGGCGGCCAATCACCGGTGAGAAGGCGGAGCCGAGCAGCCGCGCGAACATCCAGTGGACGAACCGAATGAAGGAGCAGCCGCGCTTCCTGGACCGGATCGTCGTGGGACCGGAGCCAGGTAAGAGACAGCAGCCCCCTGCAGACGTTGACTTGAGTATAAGCCGAGGGGGCCGTTTTTCAGCACAAAAAATGTGCTGAAAAACTCGGCTTATACTCAAGTATATACGGTAGGTAATCCCCATTCAGGTGCTTTGTGCGAAAGCAAGGGAAAGGCAAATGTAATTTCTAATTGTTTCCTTCACAGGTGTTTTGGACAATCAATATTCTGCGGTCATTGTATTAATGTCCGTTTCTATTAAATTAGCTATAAATGCTTGGGAATGTTTCTGACTGAAGAAGCTGCTTGGATGAAAAGTGACACATCGTCAACATTACATAACAAGTCCAGTTGAATGTGACTAACTACTACCAGCTATACCATACCAATGAGAACCTTCACAGACAGTCTAAGCCTTTTCTCAAATGTTTGCTACTTGGAGCACACTATCTCAGCACATTCCTTCCACCTTGTGGTTGAAGAGATTTCATCCTACAGGCTCCAGCATAGGCTTACGGGATATGCTTCCTGCCCTATCCTAGGGAATGAAGTGCAGCTCTTACTAGGACAAAGACTTTGTGTTTGCAGCTGCTCTATAGAGTTTACCTAGTCAATGACAAAAGGACTATTGTACTTTTGGACTTTGGTCTCTGTGCATTAGGTAAGGCTGGCCATAGATGACTTACTTTTTTTGATCAGCCAGTAAGCTGGTCAAAATATTTTTTAACAGATTCCCCCATCCACACAAGTAAGGTTGATTGTGGGAATCCTCCCCGCTGGGACATTGTATTCCTCAACTGTCAGATTGTACTGATCGGCGGCTGCATCTGCTGATTGACAAAAATCTTCTACCATTTCAACATTCATATTCAACAGAAGTTGATTGTTAGATCAGCTTATTGTAAGCAGGAATGGCCATACGTTGCTCAAAATGTATTCCTTCTATGGCTATTTTAAGTGTGGTGCTAGACAGAGCAGTTTGTAGACAGGTGGTAGAGCTGGTCCCCCTTAAAGTGCCTCCTCACCTTGGGAGAAGGCTGGGAGTCTAGGCAGGTCCAGGAAGGGAGGTAGGAGAGACTAGAGAGGAAGGAGGAGTAACATCTAGCAGCTGTGCTCCTACTCTTCCTCCTTCTGGGGGGAGGGCAAGGTGCCCCGGGGTTTTTCATAATGATCCCAAGAGAGAAGGAGAGCTCCTGTCGGACAGTTCCGCTCCCGAGGAAGACCTCATGAGTTGGTTCACCCCTCAGTTCCTCCCCTCCTATCCCAGGCAGAGAGGAGTGACAGAGCAGCAGAGAGTGAGGGCCCTTTTGCAGAAGATGAAAGCAGCTTTTGGCAGGGCCTAATATCAACTCTTCCTTACATTTTGCCTATGGAACTGTGTTGGGGTCTGAAATCAAAAAGAGCCATGTTATTAAATGAGGCTTTCAAGTAAGAATGTTAACTGCATCCAGCCTTGTGGTGCTATTATCCAGTCATAATGCTGTTCTGAAGATAGTAGGGAGAGTTCTGCTGTTGTCCCTTGGCTGTTGTGCCTGAGACGGTAGGCCAGCATCTCGATCCCTAGGAGTGAGGCGATGAATACACACATTACATTATATAAATAACCCATTTTTTGTGGAAACTCTCAGTTATATTATCTTGATGCAATCACTTAATAGGGCACTTACTAATCACCGTGATTATGATTTCTACCACCAGTGTGCTCCCTCCTTCTTCCTTGAGATGATTCTCCGAAGGGTAAGCGATTTTATAATTACAAAGGTCATGAGCACTTTTTTGATATGGTATATGGGGTCCTGTTCACTGTTCATATACTATGTCCCATCAGGTATTGACTGAGCCCATAATCACAGTTCATCCAAAAAACAGAAGAAAAACCTTCTTAATAAAATAAAATTAATAAAACATAAGATTGTGCTGAAACCAGCACCAATGCAGCTTGCTCTTACACTGTTTGCTGCCTCCGATCCGCACAGCAAACATGAATGCATTGACATAACCAAGTTTTTTCCAACTCGTTTTGTCACATCTGAACTTCCTCAGGAGTGGTCCTGAAGACGTCCGGATGTAACAATATAATTGTCTTAATCATTGTGGACAAAGGCAACAAATTTGGGCACTTTTTCAGCATTTATAACACAATGATTGCCAAGAATTATTGTTGAGTTTGTTTGCACCATTTAAATGTTTATATACTGTATTTTATAATTCATCTTATTGCACTAATGATTTATAAAGTGCCATTTTTTTCTATATATTTTCCCATATTTATTGTAGTATTGAGCATTGTTTTATATTTGTGTTTGATAACATATATTTACTGATACACTGAAAGTGAATTACCCCTCATTCTATTCCTCCCCTCAGCCTGTAACTGAGTTGCAGTTTTTTTTTTGGGGGGAGCGGGTACTGACAAAAAAGTACTGGCCTAAGCAAGGATGACGTCACATTGTCTGCCTCTCCCCTAGCCACCCGCAACTTCCTGGGACATGTCATATATCCTAGGAGGCTGCAGGACCAGTCTCCCTGCAACTGTCTCTGGATAATGTGAGAAACTCAGACAAATTTCTTGAATAATCTCGTGCCAGACGTTTGTGAAGCAAACGACCCTAAAGTGTTAGATCTTTGTCTTTATCTTGTTTTATGTTATTTTTTTAGTGATCCTTTAGGTTATGTGTGTGAGATTCTAACCCACAGCACAGTAATTAAGGGGTATTGTGTACTGTATATTATGGGTGGGCTTAGAATTTATTTAATCTAACCAAGCCACTTTAAGCCACTCCCATTGTTCAGAGCAATGTAGTCATGCTCATTTTCATTGTGGTGCAATGGGCATGCCGTATGTCTTCTCTGCCTCAAGATGTTCCTCTTTCACAAGTTCTAAACTTGGGAAGTATAGTTTCATGGGCAGCACAGTTCCTAATTCTAACAACTAAGCTAAACTGCCTCAAATATGCACTTCCAGAAAAAAGCAGTTGTAATAATTTTCTGAGCCTCGTTCACATGGAGCAATTACGCCCATGCCCTGTGCAGGGCTGTGTTTATCTGCATGGGGATGCACAGATGTTCCGTGCACCACTTTGCGGGCAGTCCCATTAGTATCTATTGGAACACAGCAGCCTCTGTGTCCCAATATGATATCCATGTGGATGCGGGCGTGTGTCCCCACATTGGGAGCAACAGCTGTGTCCATGTAGCCACTTTATGCCAGTAGATATCTATGGGACTGTGGGCACGTGGATGCACACAACACCCGTGTATACCTGTGCCAGTGACACCAGTCCTACACAGGGCACAGAAATAATCGTCCCGTGTGTACGAAACCTAAATTTTTATACACATAAAGTTGATGCTGAAACCTAGTTAACTGCAAAAAACAAGAAGTCTTAGTAACTGGTGAATTGTTTACCAAGATGGGACTTATATTTATTAGAGATGTGCATGACGGAAAAATTTATTTAGTTTCGGACTCCTTTGTTCAGTTATAAATTTTGTTTCGTTATTTTCAAATCCATTCGAAACTGAAAATTAGTTTGAAAACAAATTCGAGTTCGAAATGGAAACATATTGCAATAAATACAGTAAGGTATAAAAGTGAAAGACGATGATGATTCCTATTTAGACTGCTTTATAGAATAGAAAAGAGTAGGATAGAATAGAGCACAATAGAATAAAACTGATTAATATGAAATAGAATAGAAAATAAAGGAATAGAGCAGAATAGAATAAAACAGAATAGAATAAAATGGACTATACAAGAATAGAATAAAACAGAATAGAAAATAGAACAGAATAGGATAGAATATAGATTAGAAAGGCAATAGAACACAATAGAATAAAACAGAATAGAATGAAACAGAATATACAAGAATAGAATAGAATACAGTAGAATAGAAAATATAGGACTAGAATAAAACAGAATAGAACATAACGGAATAGAATAAAAAACAATAGAATAGGAAAGAAAAGAATATAAAATCTTTTGTATTTGTTTCTATTCTATTATACTCATTTCTATACTAGTCTATTCTATTCTATCCCTATATTTTTTTTCATTCTATCCTTTTCTATTCTATAAAGCAGCCTACGTAGGAATCCTCATCTTGTTTCACTTTTATAGCTTACTGTATTTATTGCAATATGTTTCTATTTTGAATTCAAATAAGTCGTTTTGTTATAATTTATTTTGAATTCGTTGAAATTTGTTACTATTGTGATTTGGAAATTAGGATACATCTGAATCTCCAAATAATGATAATTTTGTCTGAATTTTGATCTGTAACGAAGCGAAAAGCATGTCTTATATTTATTCTCCCTTTACTCTCTGAGATGGGGAAACAGCTTTCATTGTTTGAACACTGACTGAAGTAAATTAAAAACGTTCTGACTGACATTCTGCAGTTTAGCCACAAGATGTCGCTGTTTTGTTCTAACACAGCCTCAGACTGCATAGAGATTTCTTTATTTATGAAGGGGTGGGGTTTTTACACTTGGAGAGTGAACAGGAAAAAGGAGAGAGAGCAGCCATGCTTGAGAGAGAGAAGGGGGGCTGTGTGATTGGAGAATCCGTTGCCATCCAGCTGTGAAGACTGCCCTCCTTAATCAGAAATCCCATTGAGTGAAGCTGATGGTGTTCAAGACGCTAATCCTGTCCAAAGAGGGGAAGATTTGCTGCCAGGAAGCTGATGAGGACAGAGGAGCAAAGCAACATACAATGCTGATAACATTGCATGAGTAGTGGAGAGACATTTGTTCTGTTCAGAGTCATCAGCGGCTGCAATACAGACCCGGGTCGGTAAGAATTGTGCATGCACCTCCTTTCAGTGTTGGCGCCTAGAGACTGAGCCAGTTACGGTCTCTGTTTGTGTCAGGCCACAAGTGTTATTGCTGATCATTGGAAGGACTCCACAACTTAAAGTGACATTTCACATTGGAGAACTGATAAAATCCTACAAACTCAAGCCAGACTGGCGTTTTTGCTCAGAAGGAATACTCAGGCACGTGCTACAGGACCAGTTATGGGAGGGGGAATACTGTAAATTTGTGTAAGATTGTAAACTGTTGTGCTGCACCGCAGGCTAGCCCATACCGTACACCCATACACTGATTCCTGCTCTTTTAGGGTTATAACAGGTAAGGTGTGGCAGCTTATTTGTGCCCGCTAGTAGGTAAATTACTTCACTTTCTACCTTCATCATCAGAAGGCGCCGTGCTGTGCAGCACAAGGGTCTCAGCCTTTAGGCTTGGTGTATGTAAATATATTGTATCCTCCAGCATTTGTGGTTGTGTTTATTTGCCACATCTAAGTAAAATTCTGTTGTGACAAAAGCTGGTGTTGGGGTTGCTTTCCTCGTTCGTGACTTCACTGTATCCTGGGGAGCCCACCCCGGTACACGGCTTACAACTCTCAGATTCCCTGCTGGCTAAATGTAAGGCTCTGTACCTTGTCTATGAATACTCCCGCAATATCCTTTGCAGTCTTGAAATTCTTTGCACCAACACTTTTTGAAGCATCAATGATAATGAAGATATTCATGAGGCCACCTTTTTTTACTTGTAATTTACGATCGCTTTTATCTGTAAGAATATGGAGGAAAAAAAAGGTCAATGCAAAGTAAACCGTCTGTCGCTGCAGAGACACACAGGAAACAATTGTTTCTATGTGTCCTAATTACACTGCAACGCTGCATGTGGCTGCACTGCAGCGTGCTGCGATAAAATGCAGGCATGCTGCATTTTATTGCGGCGCACCATGCCAAATCACATGGCAATGCGTGGCATGGCTGTACATTGTCATGAATGAAGTATATGTTTTGTAAACTGTGCATAAAGTTTGTGCAAAACAAAAAAAAAGGGAGCCGTCTGATGCTTTGAATCGTGCACCATACTACCCCCTACTGCAGCTAGCAATGGAGAGCACCATACTACCCCCTACTGCAGCTAGCAATGGAGTGCTGCCAGGAAGCTGATGAGGACAGAGGAGCAAAGCAACATACATTGCTGATAACATCGCATGAGAAGTGGAGAGACATTTGTTCTGTTCAGAGTCATCAGCGGCTGCAATACAGACCTGGGTCGGTAAGAATTGTGCATGCACCTCCTTTCAGTGTTGGCGCCTAGAGACTGAGTCCAGGCCTATAGTTAGTTAGGGTCTCTGTTTGTGTCAGGCCACAAGTGTTGTTACTGATTATTGGAAGGACTCCACAACTTAAAGTGACATTTCACATTGGAGAACTGATAAAATTCTACAAACTCAAGCCAGACTGGCGTTTTGCTCAGAAGGAATACTCAGGCACGTGCTACAGGACCAGTTATGGGAGGGGGAATACTGTAGATTTGTGTAAGATTGTAAGCTGTTATGCTGCACCGCAGGCTAGCCCATACCGTACACCCATACACTGATTCCTGCTCTTTTAGGGTAATAACAGGTAATGTGTGGCAGCTTAGTTGTGCCCGCCCGTAGCACTGAATTGTTCTGGCAGCTTTGCGTTGCTGTGCGAATATAGCCTTCGTGCTGTTTCAGGTAGGCGGTAATGTTTACCCCCTATGAAAAGTGAGCCACGGATGGTATATAGCAGTGGGTGGCCGGCTACTGCCACCTCCCTATGCTTGGTTTTTTTTTTAACCTATTTCTTATAACTGCCGAATGGAAATTTAACATTTCGCGATCACGCTGCAACTGTAATCCCAGCAATGGATCGCGGTTGTGCTGCAACCTCATAGATGTCAATGGGTGAGTTTGAAAGGTGGTGCAGCCTGTTAAACTCTGCAGCCTCAGCTAAAACTGCCGTGATTGTGCCATGTGTGCAGCCCTGTCAGGCTGTAATGTTAGAATACTGGTGGGCGACCAGGAGGGAGGGGTGGTAAAACCATGGCTCAGCTGCTTGCTTTTAACACTCCTCAGCTGCCAGTGTGAAAGAGCCCTTATAGTGAATAACATATGATTTTCAAGGTGGAATTACAGTCAATGTATGATCTCCACCTACTTTCCTAACCAGTTACAGCATTATTTGCTTATTATCAAGCTATTCCTAGCCAGACGTTGGCCATACACTAGTAGATTCGTTTGAACATTCTTACAAAAATGTGTACTAAAATTCTCAGCACATTTGATGACTTGACAATGGTTGTTCGAAAACACTTCCAAAATGAATTTGCTTTTACCATTTGATTTTGGAACAAAATGGACTTTCTCATTTGAAAACCATAGTCATTGTTAGAAAAATGTTCCTTCAAGAAAAATGTTCCATCCTTCCCCTCACTGCGGTTGAAAACGAACCTTGATTTGACCCTACTAACGATTAGAAAATTGACGGTTCTTAAAGCAAATAATTTCAAATGAAATTCTACTAGTTTGTAGCCAGCTTTAGACTGTGCAAATTAAGACACAGTATTGCAACAAGTCAAATTCATTCAAGAACAGCCAGGGACAGATGTGTTTCTTTGTAAACACCCATACTAATGCTATTAAAGAGTTTTACAATGGAAACCCTAGCCAAGAGCCTCATAAATTTTGTTAGACCACCCAAATGGGCTTCAGATAAGACACTAGACCCTGCTTCCCCTGTAAAGACACTGTATGGCCAATGGTGTATGGACATCACACCATCAGAACATACAAGTAGGAGCCATTCCAAAACTATGTTGGATGGAAATATCTGTCTCACAAATAGTGTTCCAAGTCATGTCAAAGGGGTTTACGGTTAAGGTCAGGGCTCTGTGCAGGCCATACAAGTTCCACCAAACTAGACATGGAAAACCATTTCCTGAAACAGAAAAGGGCCTTCATCATTCTGTTACCACAAGCACAAAAACAAATGTTTAAAATGTTCTTCTATGCCATTCATTCTCAATCAAGGATCTGTAGAGCCCTAGGGTTCCTCAAGGGTTGGCTAGGGGTTCCTTGAGCTGTGCCTAACTCACCTCCCATCTGATGGTGCCTGCATAGTCCAGGTCGAAAGCCACTTGGCAGAGCCAGTGAGATGCCTGCAAGCGTGGCATTCTTCCCACTTACCATAACCAATGTAAGGGACATTTTCCCAATGAACCCCAATGGGTTCATCTTACCAGGGGTTCCCTGAGATATGAAAATCATCTCAAGGGTACCTCTGGGGTACAAAGGTTGAGACAATATATTGCATATTTTCCTACCTTCAACTCTGTCCTTGTCTGAGGCTTCAATGGTTTCAGCCAAGGAGGATCCAAAACCCTCTGCTACTTCTTTCGGAGTATCATATGTGTAAAAAGCTGTGGACAAGGTAGTTTGTAGAGAAGTATATGAGACATGTGATATCTAGATTTGTTAACATATACATAATAGCCCAAATATTTATTTTTTCTAAAAGTGTTATAACAGTTAATATTAGGGGATTAGCTCCAGTTTTATTTTAACCACACATTTTTTTATTTTTTTTTTTTTTTAAATACTCCATAGAGATAAGGCATCACAGTTACAAAATGTGCCAAGAATAGAAAATTAGCTTTACAGGATGATATGAAACATTCAATATTTATATTATGGTCCTAAGTTCTCCATAGTTATGCTTAATTGATGTGAGATGTTGTGTTTGGAGAAGGTTAGAGAAGGAAAGGAGGAAGGGGGAGGGTAGTTAAGGTGAGGTAAGAATCGGAGGTGAGGTAGTGGGAAGGGACGTAAATCGAGAAGAGAAAGCAAAAAAACAGTCACTTAGAAGGACCTTATTGGTAATTTGGGGTACAACCAGGGGCGGACTGACCATTTGGAAACTCGGGCACTGCCCGAGGGCCCGGGGTCAGTAGGGGGCCCCATGGGATGCCCCTGGTACCTTTTTCATAGGCTTTTTTGAGTTTGGGCAAGGACACAGGGGCCCCATGATCCCCTATTGCCCGGGGGCCCCATGAGTTGTCAGTCCGCCCCTGGGTACAACGTATCACAAAAAGGTAAATCTGAGATCAGGGTCAGGTACCATGATGTGTGATTGAGCTAAAGTAGATGGAGATTAATAGGAACTGCACTCAAGTCTGTGTTCTTTTGAGATATTTCATTGGATCATCCATAATAGATATATAGACATTGTGTCTCCACCCATAAATGATCTCCTCCCTAATGTGTTTCACCACACTGACTTAATCACAAGAGTGGAGGAGATTTTTTCTGGCTATGGCTATGGATGATCTAATAAAGTAATTAAGAAGAGCACAGGCTGGAGTGTCAGTTCTATTAATCTAATTTCATCTTGTGACAAGCAAAGACGAGCGTTTTGAACCTGCTCTGGGGCCCAGAGAAAGGAAAAAGGAACAATAGTTGAGTTAGAAGTTGAATAGAGTCTCATGTTTGAGGGTATAGTAAGGTCAAGATTACTATAATATATGGTGGTCATAAAGGATGCAACATCCAGTCATTAGGTCAAAACTGTAGTTTTGTTGTGTGCCAGCAGGGCCAGTCTTTCTAGAATATTGATCCTTTACAATGGGATCTAGCAAAGAAGACCTCAAACTGGGCATGGGTATTAAAAATTTGTATAAAGGACATACATCCACCATCTCCTGCACTCAGGGGCTCCGATCAGAGGAAGATTATTTAATGAGAAAGTATGTTCATCCAATACTGATCAAAGGTTGTGCAGCTCTATCACGAAGCTGGGGAAGCTTGATATAGACTGTAGTAAAAAATAAAAGAGCACACCAACCTTGCGCATTACCTCAGTAAACAGAGATGAATTTATTAATAAAATATACTCACAAGAGTAGCAGTAAAATAGGCATATAATAACCATAGCCAACACAGGGTTAGAGGTCAGGTACAAGTTCCATCAGTACTGTTTACTGAGGTAATGCGCAAGGTTGGTGCGCGCTCTCTTTTATTCTTTATTAAAGATTTGGATCACAGAGTCCGAAGTGGGGACGGTATTTTTTCCCAAAGTCTAGAAATGGATAGTTTGGCTCTTAATAATATATGGATGAGAAGGGTGTGGAACTGCTTTCTTTGCCCCAGAGGAAGATTTCCCCTCATTTTCTGTGTTGATGACCACATAGGAAGTGAGTTGAGTCCCACAATGAGAACACAGAGCGATGAAAAATGTCCCAGAGGTACAGAACACTCAGTCGTATTATCTAGATTTCATCATGGTGGGGAAGACATTGCCAGGAACTATGAGATCTCACTGCTGAGAACTATCTTATAGAAATTTCCATTTACATAGATGTTATAACATTTGATTATTTTGTCTTCGTTATCTTACTTCTGCAGGATGGTTCAGATCCTGACCACCTCTTGTTCTCTTTACATTCCCTAGTTTCCGATCCAAACATCTTATGTCCATACTGACACTGGTAGGTTACTTTGTTTTCAATTCCATAGGAAATACCAACTTTGCTGGCACCAATGGGGATCCCTGGGTTGGGGCAATGGCCCTCTGAAGGGAAACATTGCATAGAGGTACTGTAAATTATACAGAATGATATTAATATGACCATAACAGAACAGTTTGACAGTCCATTAATAGCAGTAAAAGTTATAGTGTATCCAGTGTACCTAGGCACAAGAACAAATGTTTTTACATTGCAACTTACTAGCTATTAGATGAGGTGTCTACATTTTTAAGGGACAACTCTTTTTCCCCTTAAAAAGCAAAGGATAAGTTCCCCTTTTAACAAAAAATAATAAATGCAAATTTTTTTGCAGGTTGCATTTATTATTTTTTTTTTGTTTCTGGAGCCTCTAAAACATTGCATCAACGATCAGCAGATTGTTGGTGCCATGCAGGTCTTCCCCTGATCTGTCAGTATATCTGCTTGCTTGTACATCCCGTATGAGCAAGCAGATACTACTGACCGGAAGGCTCAATAAACTACCACGGCACTGTGGAATGTCGTGGGACTTCATCGAAAACTACAACCTGACAAGGCTCCCGGATGTTGTAGTATTCCCATTCATAGAATACTGTGAATGAATAACACGGCCGGGCGGACGAAGCTTCACACGGCCACATGTAACAAAAAAAATGTGACAGCGGGGAGGAGAAGATCCCTCGCTATCTGTCACAGCAGGCATCGGGGTGGGTATGGGGGCCAGTCTGCTCATTACATGCTACACACTGAATATGGGTGTAACATATAACCTGTTACAAAAGGTGAACTTATCCTTTAAATCATCATTTAAAAATTGCATTTTGTATTTAATTGGGTTATCTTTCTGTAATATTTGGATTTTTGCAACAAACTAAAAAAGGGCGCTGTCTACTTTAAATATGATCAATAAATAAAAATATGTGCAAACTAAAATTCATATATCAGCAAAAGATCATAATTTAATGTAAGATGTGATGCAGTAGAAATAAAATTATAAAATAAATATAAATAAGTCTCCAAATCCAATGTGAAGAAAAAGTGCTGTGTGCCAAATATATCTTCCAATAAAAGTGCTGCTGTTCTCAAAAGGTGCTCCTCAAAAAACACGCAAGCCTCTTACTGGACCAAATTGATCTCAAACTATAGAGATCAAATGAGCAGATAGTGTCCAAACTCCACAGTGACACTCTGACTGACAGATCCAAAAAGGATGGATACAGCAAATAAATGCGTGTTCACACCAAGATCCACTTCATACCGCTCTGCGCAGTCATTTATGGAAGGGTTTAACCTGGAAGAAACCCAGTTAAAACCAAATGATTTATTAAAACATAAGTATTGCACTTACATTCAGATGGGTAAAAAAGAGAAGTGTAAAAGCAAAAGACTGTTCAGCCGTGGTATCAGTATGTCAGCTTGTGCGTGGTGACGTCACAGGAAGACTCCGTCCGACGTGTTTTTCCCCAAAAACTGCGTCCTCTGGGATTGGAGATCATTCGTGCGACGTCAGCAGTCACCATATTTAAAGAAAAAAGGAACACCGGAAGCACTTGGCTTGCAGATGCATCCACAGCATGGCCAATCAGCATGGTTTACATAATTCAAAAATACAAAATGTATTATTATACAGGATTTATATAGCGCCAACAGTTTGCTCAGCGCTTTACAATGTAAAGGGAGACAATACAGCAACAATACAGTTCAATACAAGAGGGTTAGGAGGGCCCTGCTCCTTGGAGCTTACAATCTAAGAGCTATCAATCTATTCTATTTTAATTTTACTAAATTAAAATATAATATGTTATGATTAGAAAGAGATAGATAGATATATATATATATATATATATATTACATAATAAATATGTATTAAAAATAAAAAGTTTATAATTGACCACCTTATGTGGAGGTATATTGAGTGCCATCTTGTGGATACATATGTGAGTCATGCCATTTCACATAAATACCATGTATTATAAGTTAATGACGCAAAATAAATGCACAAGATAAATACAAATATGTGCAAGTATAAAAATAAATAATACAAATAAACCATACCCACAAATGATACATAAATCCATATAATGACAGGACAAATTTATAGCATAGAGATCTAAAAATCCATCAGGTCTCCCAACGGTAGATTTGTCTATTCATATTACTCCCCCTCCAATTTGTTATATACTTTTCTATACCAACAACCTGCAGGGATGATGGAGCTCTCCTATGATGTAAAGCAAAATGTTTGGACAGGCTATGTGATGGAAAATCCTTTCTAATATTAGCCAAATGTTCTCCAATTCGAACATTCAAAGGACGTATAGTTCTTGCGACATAATGAATGAAATCAATATATTTGCCAACAGTCAGGTCCATAAATATTGGGACATCGACACAATTCTAACATTTTTGGCTCTATACGCACCACCACAATGGATTTGAAATGAAAGGATCAAGATGTGTTTTAACTGCAGACTGTCAGCTTTAATTTGAGGGTATTTACATCCAAATCAGGTGAACGGTGTAGGAATTACATCAGTTTGCATATGTGCCTCCCACTTGTTAAGGGGCCAAAAGTAATGGGACAATTAGCTTCTCAGCTGTTCCATGGCCAGGTGTGTGTTATTCCCTCATTATCCCAATTACAATGAGCAGATAAAAGGTCCAGAGTTCATTTCAAATGTGCTATTTGCATTTGGAATCTGTTGCTGTCAACTATCAAGATGAGAACCAAAGATTTTTTGAGGCTCACCAATGGTTTACATCTTGTGGTGAACCCTCTGTATTCACTCTGGTGAAGTCTTCTCTTGATTGTTGACTTTGACACACATACACCTACCTCCTGAAGAGTGTTCTTGATCTGGCCAACTGTTGTGAAGGGTGTTTTCTTCACCAGGGAAAGAATTCTTCGGTCATCCACCACAGTTGTTTTCAGTGGTCTTCCGGGTCTTTTGGTGTTGCTGAGCTCACCGGTGCGTTCCTTCTTTTTAAGAATGTTCCAAACAGTTGTTTTGGCCACGCCTAATGTTTTTGCTATCTCTCTGATGGGTTTGTTTTGTTTTTTCAGCCTAATGATGGCTTGCTTCACTGATAGTGACAGCTCTTTGGATCTCATCTTGAGAGTTGACAGCAACAGATTCCAAATGCAAATAGCACACTTGAAATTAACTCTGGACCTTTTATCTGCTCATTGTAATTGGGATAATGAGGGAATAACACGCACCTGGCCATGGAACAGCTGAGAAGCCAATTGTCCCATTACTTTTGGTCCCTTAACAAGTGGGAGGCACATATGCAAACTGTTGTAATTCCTACACCGTTCACCTGATTTGGATGTAAATACCCTCAAATTAAAGCTGACAGTCTGCAGTTAAAGCACATCTTGTTCGTTTCATTTCAAATCCATTGTGGTGGTGTATAGAGCCAAAAATGTTAGAATTGTGTCGATGTCCCAATATTTATGGACCTGACTGTATATGTCTTCCAGGGGGCTTGTGAATACTTTTGTGAACTCTGGGGAGATAATATATATAATGGAAATACTAGGGGCCAACGGCAATAAATACTGCTTTTCTTTTTTTATCAGTTATACCATCTTTAAATCCTCCCTGTATTATTCTATGCAATCATTTTTTATATGCACAAGTGGGATCTTTTCTTAAGATTTCATATGTATTATTATCAGAGAAGAGATTATTCATCTCATCAAGATAGTCCTGCTTCTTAAGAAGGATGATTCCACCCCCTTTGTTCACAGGTCGAATGACCAAATCTTTATGATCACAAAGGGACTTAACACACCCTCATGCAAAGATATTTGGGACCCTTTTTTAAAATGTGCTCAATTCAGCTCTTTCAACACCATATTCTTAAATACAGTAATGTTGGTATTATTCTGCCCTGAGGGGTTGAATAAAGATACGTTCCTACACCCAGTATGGACCACATCCCCCTCATATGCAGAACCCCCATTTCTCACCATGAGGATTAGAAAGGAAATAGCTTTTCACATTAAATTTTTGAATGAATTTATGTGTATCGATAAAGGTCTCAAACATATTCAACGATCTAGCAGCAAATTTGAGACCCTTATCTAAAACACAGTTTTCTTGAGCCATGAGGATTACTCCAGTGAGACTGGAAATGCCCTCACAACTTAACACTTTCTTTTTTTTTTTTGGCCATGCTTTTTCCTTCCTCCTCTACATCCTCTGATTTTTCTTTTCCTTTTCCCATTCCCTTACCTAAAAAACTATTAGGTTTAAATTTTAAAGGAGCCAGCGATTGAGGTTCCCCTCCTGGAGGGAAATGGGTCCTCTGTGGTTCATAATAATGATAATCCTCTTCCCCATCTCTATGATAAAAAATATATATATATATATATATATATATATATACAGTGGGGATCGAAACTTTAAGCACCCCAGCTAAAAATGTGTATTAATGTGCATAAAGAAGCCAAGGAAAGATGGAAAAATCTCCAAAAGGCATCAAATTACAGATTAGACATTCTTATAATATGTCAACAAAAGTTAGATTTTATTTCCATCATTTACACTTTCAAAAATAGCAGAAAACAAAAAAATGGCGTCTGCAAAAGTTTGGGCACCCTGCAGAGTTAATATCTTGTACTGCCCCCTTTGGCAAGTATCACAGCTTGTAAACGCTTTTTGTAGCCAGCCAAGAGTCTTTCATTTCTTGTTTGAGGTATCTTTGCCCATTCTTCCTTACAAAAGTCTTCCAGTTCTTTGAGATTTCTGGGCTGTCTGTCACACACTGCTCTTTTAAGGTCTATCCATAGATTTTCAATTATGTTGAGGTCAGGAGATTGTGAAGGCCATGGCAAAACCTTCAGTTTACGCCTCTTGATGTAATCCCCCGTGGATTTCGAGGTGTGTTTAGGATCATTATCCATTTGTAGAAGTCATCCTCTCTTTAACTTCAGCTTTTTCACAGATGGCATCAAGTTACCATCCAAAATTTGCTGAAATTTTATTGAATCCATTTTTCCTTCTACTCGTGAGATGTTCCCTGTGCCATTGGCTGCAACACAACCCCAAAGCATGATTGATCCAACCCCATGCTTAACAGTTGGACAGAGGTTCTTTTCATTAAATTCTGTGCCCCTTCTTCTCCAAACGTACCTTCGCTCATTCCGGCCAAAAAGTTCAATTTTAACCTCATCGGTCCACAGAACTTGTTTCCAAAATGCATCAGGCTTGTCTATATGTTGATTTGCAAAGTTCAAACGATGATTTTTGTGGTGAGGACGTAGAAGAGGTTTTCTTCTGATGACTCTTCCATGATGACCATATTTGTACAAGTATCTCTTTATAGTGGAATAGTGTACCACAACTCCAGTGTCTGCCAGATCTTTCTGGAGGGATCGTGCAGTCAAACGTGGGTTTTGAATTGTTTTTCTCACAATCCTGCGAGCTGTTCTGTCTGATATTTTTCTTGGTCTTCCAGATCTTGCTTTAACTTCCACTGTTCCTGGTGACTGCCATTTCTTAATTACATTCCGAACAGAGGATATTGACATCTGAAAACGCTTTGCTATCTTCTTATAGCCTTCTCCAGCTTTGTGAGCGTCAACTATTTTCAGTTTGTTTTCTAGACAACTGCTTAGAAGAACCCATGGTGCTGATTGTTGGGGCAAGGTCAGATGAGTCTGGGCATTTAAAACCTTTGAGATTGACATCACCTGGTCTTCCCAGACGATGATTGAGAACAATCCATGACACTGGCAGGTCTCAGCTTGGCAAAGGGGGCAGTGCATGCTATAAATTTTGCAGGGTGCTCAAACTTTTGCAGACGCCATTTTTTTGTTTTCTGTTATTTTGAAAGTGTAAATGATGGAAATAAAATCTAACTTTTGTTGACATATTATAAGAATGTCTAATCTGTAATTTGATGCCTTTTGAAGATTTTTCCATCTTTCCTTGGCTTCTTTATGCACATTAATACAAATTTTTAGCTGGGGTGCCCAAACTTTCGATCCCCACTGTATATAATACCATTATGGAGGAAACTTTTTTTTCTGCAACGCACTGGTGTGACCATGGGAGCTAAATTTTCTCCTAGTGTTGCCTATTTATTTATGGAATTTTGGGAGATGGAAGCCATTTACACCACTCAAGATGACAACCTATTATTTTGGCGTTGTTACATTGATGCGACTTTTTTTTATGGTGGAAGGATGAATACTCTTTGCATTCTTTCATGACCCGACTGAATTCCAATTCATGATGGATTTGCTTTTCATATGAGTGGAATAACTCTGTTATTCACTTTTTGGATTTGACCTTTTCAGGATCTAAATCAATTTTTAACTAAACCATACTTCAAAACTACAGATCGTAATGGGTTTATCCCAATGGGGAGCTGTCTTTCTATATGGCTGAAGGGTATTCCAAAATGACAATTTTGAGGCATTCATTGAAATTGCTCCAGGAAAGATGATTATTTTGCTCAAGCTGAGAACCTCCGGAATAGATTTGTAGAGAAGGGTTACTCTCCAGGTGATTTAGATCAGGAGCTGGAGATGGTTTCCCAATTGGATAGAGACTCCCTCTTGTCTACCAAGCTGAGGGTACCCAATCCCATTAAACATGAATGGGCATTTCTCACAACCTTTTCATCCCAACATGAATAGATTAAAAGTGTCTTAAGAAAACATTGTAATATTCTTAAGGAGGACAATATTTTGGATCGAACACTTCCAGCACAACCACATTCATGGTCTTTGAAGGATATTCTAGCACCAAATCCTTTGAATGTTCGAATTGGAGAACATTTGGGTAATATTAGAAAGGGTTTTCCATCACATAGCGTGTCCAAACATTTTGCTTTACATCGTAGGAGAGCTCCATCATCCCTGCAGGTTGTTGGTATAGAAAAGTATATAACAAATTGGAGGGGATATATATATATCTCTTTTTCTAATCATAATAACATATTCTATTTTACATTTGTATTACTGAGTTATGTAAACCATGCTGATTGGCTGTGCTATGTGTGCATTTGCATGCCAAAAGCTTCTGGTTTTCTTTCTCTTTTAAATATGGTGACTGCTGATGTCGTACGAATGATCTCCAATCCTGAAGAACGCCATTTTTGGGGAAACGCTCGGTCAGAGTCTTCCTGTGACGTCACCATGCACATGCCGATGGACTGATACCGCAGCTGAACACTCTTATGCTTTTACACTGCTCTTTTTACCCATCTGAATGTACGTGCAATATTTAAGTTTTAATAAATCATTTGGTTTTAACTGGGTTGCACCATGAGGTTTTCTTCTTGTTTAAACCCTTCCATACATGACTGCGGAGAGTGGTATGAAGTGGTTAGGGCGATTCCTGGTGTGAACATGCATTTATTTGCTGTATCCATCCATCTGTCAGTGTGGAGTTTGGACACTATCTGCTCATTTGATCTCTAGAGTTTGAGATCAATTTGGTCCGGTAAAAGGCTTGCCTGTTTTTTGAGGAGCACCTTTTGAGCACAGCAGCACTTTTATTGGAAGATATGTTTGGCACACAGCACCTTTTCTTCACATTGGATTTGAGGACTTATTTATATTTATTTATAGCTTTATTTATACTGTATTACACCTTACATGAAATTATGATCTTTGCTGATATATGAATTTTAGTTTGCACAAATTTGTATTTTTACTTATTTATTGATCATATTTAAAACTGGACAGTGCACTTATTTAGTTAGTTAAAATGTATTTTGGTATTCAGGAAGGTAGTAGCAGAAGTTCACTTTTTCATTATTATATACACCATTTGGCTAAGCGCAAAGATCTCTTCTTTTTATACATAATATTAGAATTTGTCTGATGATCTAAATCATTTAAGTGTGACAAATATGCAAAAAAAAAAAAATCAGGAAGGGGGCAAATACTTTTTCACAGCACTGTGTGTTTTTGTGTGTATGTATGTGTATGTGTGTGTGTGTGTGTGTGTGTGTATATATATATATATATATATATATATATATATATATATATATATATATATATATATATATAGTATATATATATATATATATATTTTAACTTTAGTTAAATATACAGTATATATTGTAAGAAAATTTATCTCAAAGCCATTTAAAGGTCATGGGAAATACACAATTGTATGTATACCGTACAACAGAATAAGCAGGCCTCTTTCAAACTCCTCCATCTTTACTCCTGTTCTGTATACTAATATACTAGCTATAATAGGAGAAAGCATATATGCTAACAAAAATATGGAAACTGTATGTGCCAACTGAAAAAAAAAATGAAAAGGAAGGCAAACAGTGTTTTTATTCTTGGTTTATTCACACCTTAAAGTGTGGGTTGAGTGCAAGAAAATGAACGTGCATTGATGTACGTCAGCATGTTGCATTTTTACCATTTTTCTCAATGCTTCCTCAAACATGCAAAGGTCTAGAGCACGACAGAGGAGCTATAGTGCTGACCTGCTCTTTTATGCATGTTGCACTGCACTGACATGCTTTTCCATGCATTGCACTGAAAAAAGTAGGGCTTGCTCTACTTTTTACATTTCAAATCAGTGTATATCGGTGTGCAATGCACCAGTGTGAACTGCTCCTATTCACATACCTTATTTTTTTTTACAGGTCCTTGTGCTAGCATGCTTTGAAAGAAAATGTGCCAACCTATCTGGTGTCAATGTACCTTTTCTGCCATTCCAGATTCAGAAGCCGTTTCTAAATGGGACTGCAGCCCCTTATCCATGATTTTGTACTATGCATGTAGGCAAGTGCAGTTAGCCCCTTTGCCACTAGGTGGCTCTGTATCAGAATAGTGTCTGGTACAGCAGGTAGTGACACTGGGTGCTAGGCCCTTTAAGGTAGAGCCCTCCTATAAGTGATTTCAGCACCAATATATAAGTTATAAGGGGAGAGACAGAGTCTTTTGAGGTATGAGAGCCATACACCCCACATCTGGGAGAATGTAACCTAGAAACGGGGGCCATGTACAGGGCAGGAGGCTGGGTGGAGTGAACCTGTATGCAGGAACAGCTGGCTGTAGTCTGTCCCTTAAAAGGTGGGGAGGTGAATTGCAAAAGGCCTTGTAGGCCAGGCTGAAGATCCCTGTATGAACCTGCTTTCCTGGAGGGCTCCCGGATATAGTCCTGTGAATACTTATGACCCAGGGCAGAGGGGAGACTGTAGGGAGATAGCTGTGAGGTGCTTCACATGCTTTCACTTGTGATTACTGCAGACCATCCACATTATGTGATTGACTGTATGTCAAGTGACTCCAGAATATACAGTATGTCCATGCAAAATGACTGTCTTGCCATTCCCTAAACATCACCAGTAAAGTGCAGTAAAGCTAACTATTGTGGACATTTCTTATTTTGGATATAAAGGTCTATGGCTGGGAATGTCGTGAGTAGGCCTATTGCGAGGAGCAGGACACAAGATAGCAAAGGGGTTGGCCTCAGCAGATGGAATTGTACACTAGAAGGACTGGAGTGAGGCTTGGGACTTGTGCTTGGCGCCAAAATCATCTAACCACAAGATCTTCTTACATGCAAACTCCTTTGCAACTCTGAGCTACAGCAGATATAGAAAGAGAATATTGCTCCAACTAGAGAACACATGCTGATCATCATTTCTACAGGCTCAGATTTAGGGCTATTCACAAATAATATGCTATCGTCTACCATTGGGAATTACTTTACATAATTCAATATCATTTTCATAATTTTACATAATTTTCCTTAATCTGAAATTCTCACCTTGATCATCGCATATTGTCGTTTCCCCACTCCATTTTCCCAGTCTCCAGACAAGTGCGGTTTTCAGGTCCATACATTGTGAATCCACCCCAGCACTCGAACTGCAGGACATCACCCACGTAAAACTTTTTTTTACGCGGTGCAACCTCTCCACCTTCAAACATGTTTGGGCTGGGACATTCAATAGCTATAAAAGATCAGTAATATAGAAGCACAGGTGAACTGTATTCAAAGGCACAAATGGAAAGTGATGGTGTAAGAAAACTGCACCAAGACAGGTAGGGGTTTATTTACTAAACCTGGTTGATTCAGAATCTTGTCCACTTCTGCATAAAAAAACCATTCAGCTTCCAGGTTTTATTGCTGAAGCTTAACTTAACATGCTGAGGTTAGAAGCTGATTGGCTACCATGCACAGGTGCCCAAGATTCTGAGTCAACCAGGTTTAGTAAATAAACCCCGTAGTGACAGCAGAGAAGAAGGCAGGCAGTGACAAAGAACAGGAGAGGTTGGTTCTCTGACTCTAGTTCCCAAATGCTAGGTCTCATGTTCAGCCTTCCACATCTCAATGATTTTGGTAAGGTAGCTTCCAAACCAAAAAGCCATGAGGCAACATTTTAGGCCTTGTTTCTCAGAGGATAGGTGCAGGAACTACCCCTTTCCAAGTAACCCCCTTGTCTCACCTCCGAGAACTGTCACTTGGTTTTATCCCTTTCCCACCTACCAGTACCACCCTTTTGGATAATACAGAAGCAAGTATCATTTTGTGGTGCTAATTATTGTGTATGATAATAAGAAAAGCTGTAAGATAGATCCCCTGCAGCCAGCAACAATAGATCCCCCCCCCAGCAACAATAAACCCCAGGAGCCAGCATCAATAGACTCTCCAGCTGCCAGGAATAATAGACCCCCTCTTCCACAGTAGATGACTCCCAGCAACAGTTGACCCCCCAGCAACACAAATGCCCCAGAAACAGACCTCCCAAGCAACAAAAAACAAACCAATACCCTCAAAAATAGATCCCAAAGCAGCCAGCATCAGTAAACACCCCAGCACCCCTTGCTATTACATACATTCAGTGCTTGAGGTGCCGGAACTGCATACCCCGTGTTCCTGCTGAAAAAAAGCCTTGATTATATGCAAAATATAAAATAAAAATAGTTACCTTTACATACAGCTTTTTGCTTTTCATGTGTCCATCGCCCATTCCCCTGGCACTCCCGTATAGCAGATGGGAATGGATACTTTCCTTCCGGACAGCTGTACTCCACTTTTTCGCCATCTTCGCTTACTGTGTAGGTGCCACCGACAATGGCCACTGTGTCAAGGCTACACCGATCAGTAGGGGCAGCAATGGACACTGGAGCAAGAAAGAGTGTCAATGTAAGTGACTAAAAATGTGGAAATTATAAATAAATTATAGGCCAGTACAATATAAGCAATGATTTAAATTAGATAGCATTTGGCTGGCCAGGATTCTGCCTAGACAGGTGAAGAATGAAAAAATGTGTTTTGGTTTCCTTTTGGATTGATTCGTTAAGTTACATATTTCAGTTTCGTTGCATTCATAACAAAATTTGTTACATTTAGTTTCTTTTGTTTTCAAATTTTCCAATGGATTCGAAAAATTTTAAGCAAATTAAAATAGAAACTGCGGAATCAATCTGAATTAATTGTGAAGAAGAGCTGGTTCTATTCTATTCGAAGTTAAGTTTGATTTTTTTCTATTTTATTCTATTGTATTTTTTCTTTTTTCAATTTTATTCTATTTTTTTCTATTCTATTTTATTCTAGTCTTTGAATTTTTATTCTATTCGGTTTTATTCTATTCTTTTCTAATAGAATTTTGAAATTCGCATTTTGGAAGACGGCTATATTCATTTTATTCTATTCTATTATCTTCTATTTTTTTCCATTCATTCTTTTACTTTCTGTTTTATTCTATTATTTTCTATTTTATTCCTTTATTTTCTATTCTATTTTATTCAAATTCGAATTTCGGAAGACGCTATATTCTAACACTAATACACATAATCTTTGAAGGAAATCCGCAATATGTTTTAAATTTTTAATTTGTTTTCAAATATGATTTCATTTTCAAATTCGAATTTCAAATTTAATTTAATTTCTTTTTTTGGATTTGTTTAAATTCGTTATACCTGAATCTCCAAATAATGAAAGTTTTTTGTTTTTGATTCGGAAAAAAATTAGCCGCACATGTCTAATTCTGTTTCATGGGTTAAAAAAACCTAATGAGAGTGGTAAAATATTTCCTTGTTATCTGGTAGGAGCTCCCCCAGCTCCAACCAATGCGCTTGTACCTTGCTTCTGCCCCAGCTGAGCAACCAATCAATGCCTCTATCCCACATAGAACTGCATAGAACTGTTCTTGGCCTCCAGTGTAATGGATCTAACATCATGCAATATATAAAGACTATTGTTGTATAATAGTAAGGGATAATATAATTCAAACTACATTTACCTGTTCTTTCAACCACGTTGTATAACACAAAGTCACATTTCAGCCGATTATTGTAAAATTAACAAAGGGTGATTCCTATTGGTTTTCCGTGGGTTACTGTTCTTTGCACATTTCTCTTTGCCATAAAACATTAATATTATGGCCAAGTCTCCTTTCTCCACTGGAGTTTGTGTGGTATGGGGGAAGTGGTACATACCACATGAAAAAAAAAAATTACAAAACCAAAAAAATAACATACATCAAGGAAAGTTATTAAAAAAAATCCTAGAAAAGCAATTGTTCAACTCTAAATCCTGAGACCTTTATGTCTGTATGTTGACTGACCCTTCAGCCTTACCCCTATCCAAACCACAGCCATATTCCTAAGAGGTACTGGTAAGAGGGGTGCTGGGTACATATTTTCACAGTTCATCAAAACGTGAACAAAGGCATTCCTTGAGCCCATTTCACTTGTATTTGGCAGCTCACCACAAAGACGGGGATTCCCCCAGAAGAGAACTCTCAGCCCTCCAGCCCCCAATGAAAGGGATTGTGAAATGCATTGTTGTAACCAGTTGACTCTGGACTTCTAGGGATTTTCATTTGGGGCTCCCTTTGACCTTTTACAGCCATAAACCTAGCATAATGCTTTCATACCAAAATCTTTGTGACAAAGCAAACCTAAGCTGTAATAAATGGACAATAATAAATATTGTGCTAACAATGCAATTTAAAGTCGGCAGCCTTGAGACCCAACACTTCCATACATACAGTATACAGCCATGCAGGACTGACAGCTGGTCAGCATTAGGACCTGCAGCCAAGTCTGGTCATGGTTTTTCTCTCATTTCACTGGAACTGGAGATAAAGCAGAACTTTGCAACATTGGTGTCTGATGCAATTCACTGCATTCTGCAACATTGGTGTCTGATGCAATTCACTGCATTCTGAAAGTTAACGGTTAACCTGAAACCAAGAGGTGCTGAAAATATATATGCTTGATGCACATCTGTCCAGGACTTCTCCAGAGCTTCCCCCATCCTCTGGAACTCTCTACCCCAATTTATCAGACTATCGCCTACTCTGCTCACTTTTAGGCGATCTCTCTGAAAACCTATCTCTTCAGTGAAGCCTATCCTGCCCTCAGCTAATAATGGAATCTTCTACTCCTCCTACCAGTCCATCCCCCACAGTTACTACCCTTTGTACCACTAGCCCCTTCCTCTTAGATTGTAAGCTCCAAGGATCAGGCCCTCCTTTCCCTCTTGTATTGAACTGTATTGTTGCTGTATTGTCTCCCTTTATATTTTAAAGTGCTGAGCAAACTGTTGGTGCTATATAAATCCTGTATAATAATAATAATCTATAGGATGGCACAGTTTTTGTCAGACGTTCTTTAGAAGTTGTTGGTTTAGCTCCATAACTTCATTAATATTATTATTAGTATTATATCGCTTTATATATATATATATATATATATAGGGATTTATATATCGCTAACAGTTACAATACAATTCAATACAGGAGGAATCGGAGGGCCTTGCTCGTTAGAAGGAATGGCCAAGTGATACAAAAAGAAATAACTGTGGGGGATGAGCTGATGGAGAAAGTGGAAATACAGTTGCTAGGTGGAGGCCTGAAAAGGCTTCTCTGAAGAGAAGGGTTTTCAGGGATCAGCTAAAAGTGGACAGAGTAGCAGATAGCTGCACCGATTGGGGTAGAGAGTTCCATAGGATGGGAGAGGTTCTGGAGAAGTCCTAGAGGCAAGCAAGGGAGAAGGTGATGAGGGAGCTACAAAAGTAGGAGGTCTTGGGAGGAACAAAGAGAAGGATTTGGTTGATATTTTGAGATTAGGTTAGTGATGTAGCTCAGGGCCTATAGAACTATAGAAAACCCCCAAATATTCCTTAAAGGAGAAGTACAGCCAGAGCTCTTTTGGCTGTACTTCTCCTGTGGATCACAGGAGTGCAGTTCGTTCTGCACTCCTGTGACACGTTTTTAGCTGACAGCAGGCTGAAGCCCATTTTCGGCTGATGTTACTCTGCCGGTCCAGGCTGCGGAAAGATCCCAACTTTAAAGTCGGGATCCACCCCAGAATCTGGAGTGGCACCTGGCTCAGCCTCTCGGTGATCTGCTCTAGTGAGCCATGTGATCGCTGAGTTCTCACACTTAGAGCTGCATCCACCTAGGTAAGTAATATATTTTTTTTAACAGGTTTTCCATATTATCCCTTCCCCTACTGATGCTGGAAAGCCTTTAGACGTGCAAGCTTGAACAACTTGAGTGACTTTGCTGTAAACATTGAGGATAAATTACTCCATAGTACCTGCAGTTACAGAGGTTAATGAGGACTTATTTTAAAGCTCATGAACTACTTGATAAGACTATGAAAGCACTTGAATGTCCATTTGCTGGACACAGATTCACTTTGGAGCTGCCATACACAAACATTGCCTATAAATAATAGTCAGGAAGACATGCCAGCCCTCAAAACCTCAAACCTGCAAGCATCTTCTACACTATTAAAATGTGCACTAAGCCTCTTTTTTCAGTTTTGAGGGCTAAGAAAACCATGTCAGCTTATTTTTGATATTTTTGATTCCTGAAAAAATGAAAAAAAAATGTTCCCTCTTAGACAGTTGTCTCTAAGT